CACTGCGACCGCCATCTTCTCCCTGCAGCAGGCCTGAGACTGCTTTACAGGCCGCGCCGGGCTGTGCCGCGCCGCCGAGACGCGAAAGGACTGACAGCCGGACTCAGCCAATGACGATGAGCGTTGTTTTCCGGCCTCAACCACTCAGCGACCGGAAGGGGGAAGAACCTGCAGCCTTTGTGACTCTGGGCCAATGAAAAGTCAGCCAGGCAGTCACCTCCCTCCCCAATTAGCTGCGGGTGCCTGGATACCGCTGCTAGCGCAGAGCCGGGGCGGGTTTCACAATCCTTGAGTTCTCAGAGACTTGGCCGGCGAGCCTGCAGTTCTGGCAAGGAGAGCGCGGAGTTTTCCAGGCCTTTTAACCTATGATGTAATGTGCCTTACACAGTTTTAACCTGATCACATCAGCGTAGGACTTAGCCAAGCCTCCTTTTCTTCCTTACCCTCACCTTGGTTAATGATTTAATTAGGAAAGGGCGCGGCTATTCTGTTGGTGCGCATGCTCAGAGAGGGGGTGGGCGCGTGCTTTCCTCTATTAGGTTAATTTTTTTTTTTTTTTTTTCATACGGAGTCTCGCTCTGTCGCCCAGGCTGGAGTGCAGTGACACCATCTCGGCTCACTGCAACCTCCGCCTCCCGGGTTCAAGCGATTCTCCTGCCTCAGTCTCCCGAGTACCTGGGACTACAGGTGCTTGCCAACACGCCTGGCTAATTTTTGTATTATTAGAGACCGGATTCCACCATGTTGGGCAGGCTGGTCTCGAACTCCTGACCTCAGGTGATCCGCCCGCCTCTACCTCCCGGAGTGCTGGGATTACAGGCTTGAGTCACCACGCCCACCCTGATTAGGCTAAAGTGAGCAGAAGGAAGACAAAAATAAAAACTAGGAAATGTCATTAATCATAATGGCTAACATTGGTTAGGGGTTGATCTTGTTCCCGACTCTCTGTGAAACCCTCTACATGCCTTATTCCTCACAAACTAAAAGTGTGGATAAAATGCCTGTTATTACTGATAAGGAAATTGAGACTGGAGATAATATAACTGTCCCTTGGTCGCGCCAGTTGAGAATCAGTCTCTGATTAGACCCTGAGCATCTATACTAGAGAAAAAGCAATGGCAAGACAGACAGGCAGTCATGGTTGAGTTAGCCTCTTCACCTGGCCTAGAGCTGGTTAAGACCAGGCCCTATTGTTAGTGGTGTCTGTGTGTGTTGTCCTGCTTCTGGTTCTGCCGTATCTGCACTGCCAATGTGGGAACCAGTTTTGTTCTATATATATATATATATGCACATACAAATGGAAGCTCAGAAAACATTTTTTCACAGGCCAGGCACAGTGACTCATGTCCGTAATCCCAGCATTTTGGGAGGCTGAGGCAGATGGATAACTTGAGGCCAGGAGCTGGAGACCAGCCTGGCCAACATGGTGAAACCCCGCCTTTACTAAAAATGCAAAAATTAGCCGGGAGTGGTGGTGCATGCCTGTAATTCCAGCTACTCGGGAGGCTGAGTCAGGAGGATGGCTTGAGCCCCGGATGAGGAGGTTGCAGTGAGCCAAGATTGCACCACTGCACTCTAGCCTGTGTGACAGAGTGAGACTCTGTCCCAAACAAACAAAAAAACCAAAACACTTTCCCACAGAAACAATGCTATAAATAATCTCAGCCAGGCATATATCTTCCTTGTACAAAGCATTAGTGGGCCTGGTGTATTAATTAACTCAAGCTACCACTTTAATCCAGTCATCTTTTAGAGCTTCCATTGTGTATCAGCAGTAAGCTAGGGTTTGAAAATAAAGCCTAGAACAAGATAGTTGTGATTCCTGCTTCTGTGGATTTTGTAGGCTTCCAGAAGAGCAATGATCATTCATTAGTTCAACAAATACTTACTGAGTGCCCACTATGTGCCAGGTGCTATTCTAGGCACTTGGGTATACCAGTGTACAATAAAGATCTCTGAGCAGGTCCAGTGAATTGTGCCTGTAATCCCAGATACTTGGGAGACTGAGGTGGGAGGATCGCTATAGCCCAGGAGTTAAGACCAGCCTGGGCAACATAGCAAGAATCCTCTCTCTCAAAATAAAAATTTAACAAATTGTACTGGGGAGGCTGAGGCGGGATGATTATTTGAGTCCAGGAGTTTGAGACTGCGGTGAGCTGTCATCGCACCACTGCATTCTAGCCTGGGCTACAGAGCATGACCCGTCTCTAAAAAAAAAGTTATCTCTGAAAAAGCTTCACGGGAGGAATTGTGGATACAGATTATAAACATAAGTACATTGGCTGGGCATGGTGGCTCGCACCTGTAATCCCAGCACTTTGGGAGGCCGAGGTGGGTTGATCATCTGAGGTCAGGAGCTCAAGACCAGCCTGGCCAACATGACAAAACCCCGTCTCTACTAAAAATGCAAAATTAGTTGGGTGTGGTGGCACACACCTGTAGTCCCAGCTACTCGGGAGGCTGAGGCAGGAGAATGGCTTGAACCTGGGAGGTGAAGGTTGCAGTGAGCCGAGATTGTGCCACTACACTCCAGCCTGGGCAGCAGAGTGAGACTCTGTCTCAAAAATAAATAAATAAGTAAATAAATAAATAAATTGTATAGCATGTTAGAAAGCAGAAAGTACTATAGAAGGAAAAAAATGTAGAGATGAATAACAGGGAAGAAGATTGACAATTATTTAATTCTGATTGTGAGAATACTTAGCCTTATTGATCTTATTACAGATCTGTGTTCAACCTTAGGCAGTACCTGAGGCATGAGAGTGTGATAATAGTAGAGCCTATTCAGCAAGTGTAAGAATGTTTCCATGTATGGTTGGACTGGTAATCCCAGGATTTTGGGAGGTCTTGGTGAGCGGATCACTTGAGGTTGGGAGTTTGAGACGAGCCTGGCCAACATGATGAAACCCTGTCTCTACTAAAAATACAAAATTAGTCCTGCATGGTGGCAAGCGCCTGTAGTCTTAGCTGCTTGGGAGGCTGAGGCAGAATTGCTTGAGCCCGGGAGGTGGAGGTTGCATGCAGTGAGCCAAGATCTTGCCACTGCACTCTGGCCTGGGCAACAGTGAGACTCTGCCTCAAACAAAACAAAACACACACAGCCGACCACAGTGGCTCACATCTGTAATCCCAGCAGTTTGAGAGGCCAAGGAGGGCGGATCACCTGAGGTCGGGAGTTTGAGACCAGCCTGACCAACAGGGAGAAACCCCGTCTCTACTATAAATACAGAATTAGCTGGGCATGGTGGTGCATGCCTGTAATCCCAGCTACTTGGGAGGCTGAGGCAGGAGAATCACTTAAACCTGGGAGGTGGGGGTTGCAGTGAGCTGAGATGGTGCCATTGCACTCCAGCCTGGGCAATAAGAGCAAACTGTCTCTGTGACACACACACACACACACACACACACACACTCTCTCTCTCTCTCTCTCTCTCTCTTCTTGCTTCCATAGGATCTGTTCCTAGGAGCCTTGGCAATTTAACTCTATGAAGAAGGATCAGTAGGATGTTGTGTTCAATAGTTAGTGGGTCCTCATTAAATATCAGTTTCCTTTCTATCCAAAAACATACTTTAAAAGCCTCACGTTATTGTGGTTGGAGAAGTCAACCTTGATAAATTGGCCAATTACTTTTTGACTTGTGTGGTGAACTTGGACACCTTTTTCTTGGTGGTAGTGATGAGGGCAAGAATGTAATCTACACATAAAGGACCTGATTTCACATAAGGGAAAATTTAGTGCTGGAAAAATTAAGATTACCGTTGCAAAATACTCTTCAAAATTAGACAATTTAGTGTTTTCAAAGGCTTAAGTGGAACTTTTATACTGGATTTATGTGATGAATGGAATAAACTGATTCAAATATTAGAAGGGACGTGTTTTTAAAAAAACCTACCACAATTAAAATTTTGGAACATGATCTTAAATTCCTGTGAAAGGGCATGAAGAGTTTGTGTGTGTGTGTGTGTGTGTGTGTTTTGTTTTTTGAGATGAAGTCTTGCTGTGTCGCCCAGGCTGGAGTGTAGTGGCACAGTCTCTGCTTACTGCAACCTCTGCCTCCCGGGTTCAAGTGATTCTCCCGCCTCAGCCTCCCGAGTAGCTGGGATTACAGGCACCTGCCCCCAAACCCGGCTAATTTTTGTATTTTTAGTAGAGACGGGATTTCACCATGTTGGCCAGGCTGCTCTCAAACTCATGACCTCGTGATCCTCCCCAGGCCTCGGCGTCCCAAAGTGCTGGAATGTACAGGCATCAGCCACAGCGCCCGGCTCAGGCATGAAAAGTTGAGAAGTTATTGTTAACAATTTGAGAAAACCCAAAATGTTAATTTGGGGGAAAACAACTGGGATAATTGGGGAAAAAAATTTGTTTTGTGAATTACCAAGGAAAGAACTAATCACAGGCTAAGCAACATGCTTAATGTTGAATTTGCTAAATTTAAGATGTACATACTGTGATGTAGCATGTATATTTATTTGCATATGCAGTGAGACAATTCCTACAGTTGTCTCACACTGCTGTAAATGATTAGGAACTCCATCCTGCAGTGACATCGCTTTTCTGAATTCTGTAGCACTTTTCACCTAATCCTCTGATTAGTCTGTATTTTCTGGTTCAAGTGTATCTTGTTTTTCGCTTGCTCCACTTCCCTTGTCCGTTGCACCCCACTAACAGGAAAATTCCTGGTGGTCAAAATGGCTCTAATTCTTTTTGTATACCCGGGCTTAATTCAATAGGAATTGGGATAACTTCTCAATATTTAAAAAATTTGAACTCTGAAAATTTATGATATTTTAAACTCTTTTTACAACTTTTCATATTTGAAGAACATATGGCGAGAAGTGAATGCTTTTGATGAAGCCAATAGAAATTCTTGTGAATTTTTTTAACTTCTATTGCTAATTAACACGAAGGTGGCCGCGGGAGCTCTTTCTTTCTTTTTTTTTTTTTTTTTTTGAGGCAGAGTTTCACTTTTGTTGCCCAGGCTGGGGTGCAATGGCGCGATATCAGCTCACCGCAACATCCGCCTGCCGGGTTCAAGCGATTTTCCTGCCTCAGACTCATGCCAGGCGCATGCCTGTAGCTGGGATTACAGGCATGCACCACCAGGCCCGGCTAATTTTGTTTTTTTAGTAGAGACGGGGTTTTCAGGCTGGTCTGAACTTCCGACCTCAGGTGATCCACCCGCCTCGGCCTCCCAAAGTGCTGGGATTACAGGCGTGAGCCACCGTGCCCGGGCCAGGCGGGAGCTCTCTAGATCTTATCTTATCTTGGTCGGCCCCGGACATCGTGGTGGGAGGGGAACCTTCCTCATATCCGGGCGCTGGCCTCTTTGGGCTTGGGAGAGAGGAACTCAGTGATCATAGAGCTGGCCAAATGCCGGGGTAGAGGGGACCGGAAGTTGGTTTTTTTTTTTTGCCCCCGCGCAGCGGCTGGATCGCATCTCAGCTGGTTCGCTTGGGTTAGAGCTCCTGTCAAACTTTCGTTCGGCCCCTAGCACTTGGTAGCCCCGGAGTGTGGGCTGTCTCCACTACCAGACTCACTTCAGTACCAGCCTTTGGGAAGCTGTGTGAATACCTCGGTGTCTTAGCCACAGGGACAGAATGGCGGCCTGACGGAGTCGCGGCGCCGGCCAGGTCGCTCAAGGCGCGAGCCGGAACCCCCAGACCAGCTCAAGCGGGAGCCAAAACTCGGAGCTTGGAAGAATTAGCAGGAAATGGCGGATGAGGCGTTGTTTTTGCTTCTCCATAACGAGATGGTGTCTGGAGTGTACAAGTCCGCGGAGCAGGGGGAGGTGGTGAGTGCTGCCACACGTCCTTGCGGTCCTTTTGCGGTGACACACCTTGTTTCCCCTCAGTGCTTTCCTTCAACCCCTGTCCCATGCCACCCGATGCCTCCCGAGGTGTACACAAAATGGTCCACCTCCAGGTATCCTAAACCCTGGAACCTGTCAGTTGTCTCCTTTGAACGGTCATCTTTCATCGTTTTCTCTTTCGTATCTTCCATTTGATTCCTTATTGTCTATTCCCGTACGTTTGTCTTACACCCCACAGATTTTGGTACTTTTAGTGTTGTCCCTGCCATTGTTTACGGGAGGGTTAACTGCAGAGCTGATTTTGACACCCCTACTTAGTTTTGCTGGCACCTCCAGCACTTCAGCCTTGCACTGGACAGACCTGTCTCTCCTTCCTCATTCCTAATGCTCAGTGCAACTCCACACAATTTGAGAACTGAAGCCTAATGAAGGTTGAGTTTGCAGGGGAAAGTTTGCAGGCGTTAGGATAATTAGGGAACACAAATTAATTATTTCAGAAAGTATTTATTTAGTGCCCGTTATGTCAGAGCTAGTTCTAGGTGCCAGGGATGTAGTCGTGAATGGAACAATGGCCCCATCCTTGTAGAGTTGTAGAGATTACTTTTTTTTTTTTTAAATCTAACTTAATCCGAAATGTGATAGTATGTAGCGGTTACTTCTAATATGTGGGAGTCCTTATTCAGTCATTGTGGGCCTGTCGCTGCTGACACTGCTAGATAAATAAAATAAAACTTCTGCCTCACAGTCTTTAGGGAATAGTGATTTGATGAGTAGTTAACACTTAAGTATTGGCTGGTAGAATCATGGAGTTGTAACGGATTTTAGAAATATTCCAAAGTCGTGCTCAAGTCAGGAGCCCTTTCTTTAATGCTACTGATAAAAAATGGGTGGAGAGTGGGGATAGGAAATGTATCCTAGGCAAAGATAAAGACGTAGAGGTACGAAAGAGTGGTGGATTTAAAGACACTTAAGCATTTCTTTGTGACTAGACTGAATAGAGGGAGAGTAAGAAGAATTGAGAGGTGAAGTTAGAAAGCTCTCTGTAATTAAAGAATTTGGATCTTTTCAAGGGAATATTTTTGAGGAAGGGAATGATGTGGATCATTTCCATTTTAGAAAAGTAATCCAGTGTTTGGGCTAGATAAGGAAGATCCTTGTAGGGGGAAAATCCTTTATTACGGGAGTCACTGCAGGAGATGATGACGATCTGAATTAAGACAGGGATAGTGAGAAAAGCAGGTAACAGATTTGAGAGGTAGAAAGTGGAATTCTGTAGGTCTTGTTTAAGGATGGGAGTGGGAGTTGAAAATTATTGTCAGGTTTTTAGATTGAGCAGCTTGTTTGGATGGTGGTGCTATTAATCAGAAAAGGGATTAAAGGAGAATAAAATAAGGAGGTAAGATAATGAGTTATTTCGGGGCAGCTTGAACTTTTGAGGTGCCTGTATGACATCCAAAAAAAGATACTGCCAGTTTACCCACAAGAAGGATAGGCAGGATACATTTGGAAGGTTATTGGAAATGAAGCAAATTCTATTCTTATTCAAATGACACATCTATAATAGAGATTTTTTTCAAGTTAAAAACTTCTGACTTTATTATTGATATCAGTGTTTACTGTTTGTGCAAAGCTAGCCTTTTCCCTCTAGAACAGTTAACACACCCCTTTTACTTTTTTGTTATAACCCCCCCGGTCCCCCCAACCACTTGTGTATTCAGTTCTCTTCATTCTCCCCTCCCTTCTTACCTTTCCTCTTCTCTCTTTTTTTTTTTTGAGATAGAGTTTTGCTTTTGTCTCCCAGGCTGGAGTGCAGTGGTGTGATCTCAGCTCACTGCAATCTCCGCCTCCTGGGTTCCAGTGATTCTCCTGCTTCAGCCTCCTGAATATCTGGAATTACAGGTGCCGGCCACCATGCCTGACTAATTTTTTTTGTATTTTTAGTAGAGTTTCACCATGTTGACCAGGCTGTTCTTGAACTTCTGACCTCAGGTGATCTGCCCGCCTTGGCCTCCCAGAGTGCTGGGATTACAGGAGTAAGCCACTGCACCTGGCCCTCTTCTGACTCTTGTCTAGAATAATATTTTTTCTTCTTTTTAAAATGCCTTTCTTTTTTTTTTTTTCCAGTGGGTTAATCCTTATTAAAATGAACAGGGTTGTTCTACTCAGGCCCAATAATTTTAAGAGATGGACTAATCATGTAAGAGAAAGGAAGTTCATAGTTTTGAATCATTTAAGCTAAAAATAACTTTCTTTTTCTACTGCAATGTATTTATGGTGGGGGGAATATTGAAAGTACATAATAAGCAAAAATTATATAAATAACAGTTATGTGGTAGTCTTCATAATCAGAACCCATACTGAAATACGGGTATATGAGGGTTCATATTAGTGTCCCTACTTTGAGTGTGCTTGAAATTTTTCATCATGAAAAATGTAAAAGGTACATAATCCTGTCATCCAGAAGTGATTTTTAGAGATTTTTCCAGACATAAAAAGATATGTAAAAACCATGCTGTTTATGTCTGAAAAGACCTATAAAATCCATTTCTCGCTAAAAGGATTATGTGTCCTTTTTTTTTTAATTATTAAAAGTTTTTTTAAGTGAAATAAAGTTTTACAGATTTTCAGTATAGCAAAATAAACTTCTGTAAGATTTGAGGTGAGATAAAATAAAGAAACAGTGTTCTAACCCTCCAAATCAATGTTTTAAAACTATTCTTAAAGAGGAATTCTCTTAAAATGGACTAATTGGGCATTTCTCAATTTATGGTGAAAGGATTTTAAAAGGTTAGTGGATAAAATGTTCTCAAGTTGAATTTTTCTTAAAAATTTGGTGCCTATTCAAAAGTGCATGACAAGTAGCAAAATCAAAAAATATGTAGTAGGGCTTAATTCAAAAGCTCACGTGATCATAGGATTTGAGAGTGTCTGTATATAAGCATTTTGTAACTGCCCAATGGGTTCTTCTTCACCGCTGCCCAGATAGAGCTGATCTATCAAGACAGGAGAATTGCAATAAGGAGTTTATGTAGAGCTGGCTAAATCGGAGAGCAGAGTTTTATTATTGCTCAAATCAGCCTCCCCAAACATACAGAGTTTAGGGTTTATCAAGGATAGTTTGACAGTCTGGGGACTAGGGAATGGGTGCTGCTGGTTGGTTGGGGATGCCATTACAGAGTTGGGGGCCAGAGGACCAGTTGGAGTCATCCGAAATGCAAAAGTCTGAAAAGACATCTCAAAAGGCCTTTTTTAGGTTCTACAATAGTGATAATTATTTACAGGAGTAATTGGGGAAGTTACAAATCTGTGACTTCCAGAATAATGTCTGGTTATCATTTAACTACCTACATTTTAGCAGAATTCAGGCCCCTCTCATAATCCTAACCTTTTAGTCTTTCTTTAGTTTTGCAAAGGTGATTTAGTTTCGGGAAGGATTATTATCATTCTTGCTTTAAGGTTACACTATAAACTAAATTTCTCCCAAAGTTAGCTTGGGCTGCATCCAAGAATGACCAAGGGCAGTTTGGAGGTTAAACGCAAGTTGGAGTTGATTAGGTGAGATCTCTTTTACTTACAGTTACAATCTTTGCAAAGGTGGTTTCAATAGTTCCTGGTAATACATATGTTCCTAGGTGATTCTACAGAGCAAATTATTCCACATAGAGCATCATGATTTACAGACACTTATTCTAGCTGAAGTTTTTTTTTTTTTTTTTTTTTTTTTTTTGAGACGGAGTCTTGCTCCGTCGCCCAGGCTGGAGGCTTTCAGCTCACTGCAAGCTCCGCCTCCCGGGTTTACGCCATTCTTCTGCCTCAGCCTCCCGAGTAGCTGGGACTACAGGCGCCTGCCACCTCACCCGGCTAGTTTTTTGTATTTTTTAGTAGAGACGGGGTTTCACCATATTAGCCAGGATGGTCTCGATCTCCTGACCTCGTGATCCGCCTGTCTCGGCCTCCCAAAGTGCTGGGATTACAGGCTTGAGCCACCGCGCCAGGCCACTTTTTTTTTTTTTTTAAGAGACAAAGTATCTGGGTGAATGTGGTGGCTCACACCTGTAATCCCAGCACTTTGGGAGGCTGAGGTGGGAGAATTACTTGAGCCCAGGAGTTGGAGACCAAAGTGGGCAATGTAGTGAAACAATGTCTCTATTTTTTTAAAAAGAGAGGCCAGGCAAGATGGCTCATGCCTGTAATACTAGCAATCCTAGCACTTGGGAGGCCAAGGCAGGCAGATCACGAGGTTAGGAGTTCGAGGCCAGCCTGGCCAACATGGTGAAACTCCATCTCTACTAAAAATACAAAAAATACCTGGGCATGGTGGTGCGCGCCTGTAGGGCCAGCTACTCGGGAGGCTGAGGCAGAAGAATCGCTTAAACCCAGGAGGCGGAGGTTGCGTTGAGCTGAGATTGTGCCACTGCACTCCAACCTGGGCGACAGAGCAAGACTGTATCTCAAAAAAAAAAAAAAAAAAAAAAAAAAAGGGGGAGGAGAGAGACAAGGTCTTTCTCTGTCATGCAGGCTGGAATGCAGTGTTGGGACTTTGGCTCACTGCAGCCATGACCTCCTGGGCTTAAGTGATCCTCCCACATCAGCCGCCCAAATAGCTAGGGCTATGGGCATGCTACTATGTCCAGCTAATTAAAACAAATTTTTTTATAGAAACAGAGTCTTGCTATGTTGCTCATGCTGGTCTCAGACTCCTAGTCTCAAGTGACCCTCCTGCTTCAGCCTCCTACAGTGCTGGGATTATAGGCATGAGCACCGCCGCACCTGGCGTCATCCTAAGCATGTTCGAGAGGAAGTGTGGAGAACAGCAGAAAAACCGAAGATAGTGATACGTATAGTAATAGATGTATGTACAGAGTTTTATCACAGCATAGGGCCTAAGGAAGTTTCAGGGAAGGCATCTGGGAGAATGTAATAATTGAGCAGGAGTTAAAGAATGTGAAGTCTATGGAATAGCACATACAAAGGCATGGAGA